GTGGGACCTTGGAGTATGTGCTGAAGATCAAGCCAGAGTCTCCCAAGAGAAGGCAGTTGGGGCGGTGAGGGGTTTGAAGCTCTGGCACCCAAGGATTGTTGGACAAACACAGGTATTAGAACTTGAGGCCCACTGTTCAATGTCCTTGTAGTATGAGAACTCTTCTGTGTGCAGGCTGCAGACTTCTGTTTCCCTGGATGGTAAGCAGGTAGGAAGCACAAGTCCAGTGCAGAGGTGAAGTTTTAATAACAGTGCTCCAGAGACAGGTCAGAAGTTTTTCAACCTCATTTGAGCCGTACCACAGCCCCAAGAGATGGATGCCAGTGTCCCCATTTAAGAAAGGAGCTGGGTGTGGTGGCACACAGTTGTAATCCCAGCACTTGGGAGGTAAAGGCAGGAAGATTGGTAATGTAAGGCAAGGCTTGGCTACACAGTGTTTGAGGTCAAGCTTAGCTACATGAGATCATGTCTCTAAATAGTTAAGGAACTCAGTGTGGCTGGGGCTCTCTAGCTGTGCTGTGTTGGGACTGGCGGATCCTGGCTTCTAGGGCAGATGCTTCTATAAGGAGGCTGCCTGGGCACTGAGAGATGCGCTGGGGAGATGTGTGCCATATGGTGATGTGGGGTGGTAAGAAATCCAGGAGACTGAAGGTTTCAGAAGCCAGTGCTTAAATTTGGATTCCTGTGGCCATTTAGGCTGGAGAAAGGCACCAGTTTCTCTGGAGGGAGGCTGGCCTGTGCACAATGGTCTAATGGGTGACAAGGGGTCTGTCTTATGGAGCTGTTCTATGATTAAATCTAGAGCCCCAATTGCAAAGACACTGGGAAGGCATTCCCAGTGTTGCCTGGGTGAGGGAGAAAACAAAATGTTGGGTACAGAGCCACTCATTTGCCTCTGTCATGGCCCTTCATAAATGTGCCCTTTTGTGGGTGGTAGAGTTGGGCCTTTGCTACCCCAAGGGCCCCTGCGAGGTCAGGCTGTTTATATCTCCATGAAACTATCTGGCAGAGATTGACGTGTGGTTGGCCACCTGTTGGTGCTGAGGCTGAAGGCAGGACTGGGGAGCGTCTTTCAAATGATCCAGGTCCACAGCTGCAGAACAGCCAGCTGCTTCCTGCCAGGTGCGGCACCTGCCTTGTCCAACACTCAAAAGCCTAGTTTTGGAAAGAAAAAAATATTTCTGAACTTGAGACAAGAAGTAATTCACTTGGTGTTTCAGGTCTATGATCATGGAGACCACAGCAGCTTTTCTAGTGGGTCGTGTTCGCTGACTGGAGAAGCCGGGCCGTCTCAGAGGATGTGGTGCTCCTGAAAGCCAGACTATCCTGTCTCATGGGGGAAAGCTGGCTGTGCTGTGTCCTATGCAATTTCTGTTTCTGGTTTGTAGTAGGCAGGGCCAGGAGTGAGTATCAGGGTAATTGCAAGCCAGATGCCGCGGTACCTGCAGCCCCACAGTGAAGCACTAAGCCCAGTCAGGGCAACGTAGCAAGAGCCCTCTCTAAAGGAAACGTGGAGCCTTAGGTTGTTAAATAATGACCTTATAAGGACCTAGGAACTACACCATGGATCCAATTTTTAAATCTTTCTTGGACTCTATGAAACAGCTCAGGCTGGCTTCAAACTGGCTCTCCTCCTGCCTCAGACTCTGTAATGCTGGGATTACAGAAATGCATCACCATCCTTGGCTTCAGATTTATCTAAAAAGTAATTCTAAAGATGTATCTTCCCTCTCATTGAGATAAATGGGACTTTAAAAAAGTTGTTTTGCCCCTGTTCAGCATGGAAGAAGCCAGAGTGGTCTGCATCCCAATTCCCTAATTACCCATTCACTATTCAAGGACTTTCTTTTCCCCTTAGAGATAAGTTATGCAATTTGGGAGTCTTTTAGATAGACCCACTGAAGGGTACTCCAATTGCCTGACCCTGCATCCCTGTTCAGCATGGAAGAAGCCAGAGCGATCTGTGTCCCTATTCCCTATTGGCAATTAGGGTAACCCCTTCAGAGGATGATGTTATAAGAATAGGAGGTAGGAATTGGCTAGGCAGTTAGGGTAAAAAGACCCCAAAGAAATGTAGCCAGTTTCTTGGTTAAAAGTCAAAATGTCCTTGGGCCTGTCTGTTCCAAAGGCCACAAATGTCAAAATTATTTGGGAGCTTATATCTAATCCTTAAAAGTGTTTAGGGTTACCTCTTCAGAGGGGGTAATGTTAGAGTACCCCAAAGCCCTATAAAAATAAATAAATAAAAGAAGAAAAAAAAGAGAAAAGTGATGGGGAGATATGGGAGGTGTTGGAAGGGAGGGAGTGTGCATGGATTTGATCAAAACACCTTATATGCATGTATGAAACTCTCAACAAAGTTTTTGTAAAAT